CTGCGCGACACTACCCAAACCCTAAACCCTAAACCCTAAACCCTAAACCCTTCTCACTTGGGAAATGCAGGTCTTGCCGCACCCAAACGCTCCTGGGATGGCGCATGTACCGCCCTGAAGTAACACAGCAGCAGCAGCAGCAGCAGCAGCACATAGTATCACCATCACCATAACCACCACAACCAGCAGCAGCAGCAGCAGCAGCAGCAGCAGCAGCAGCAGGACCTGAACTGTGGGAAAAAGGCAGTCGAAGACTCTCTGGCCAGTGAGCAGCGGACAATATCCCCATCACAACCACCACCACCACAACCACCACCCCAATCAGCAGCAGCAGCAGCAGCAGCAGCAGCAGCAGCAGCAGCAGCAGCAGCAGCAGCAGCAGCAGCAGGACCTGGACTGTGGGAAAAAGGCAGTCCAGCACTCTCTGGCCAGTGAGCAGCGGACAATATCCCCACCACAACCACCACCACCACAACCACCACAACCACCACCCCAATCAGCAGCAGCAGCAGCAGCAGCAGCAGCAGCAGCAGCAGCAGCAGCAGCAGCAGCAGGACCTGGACTGTGGGAAAAAGGCAGTCCAGCACTCTTTGGCCAGTGAGCAGCGGCGTGTTGCCTGCGAGCTTCTCGAAGGCCGGCCGCGGCTCTCTGACGGGCCACTCGTGGGCGAGGGAAAGCCCCACACTTTTTCCCTGAAACTCCAGTTCCCCCACCAAGTCCCCCACGCTGAACTCCCCTGCAGCAGCAGCAGCAGCAGCAGCAGCAGCAGCAGCAGCAGCAGCGCGGCGGCAGCAGCGGCGGATTCCCCACGCAGAAAGCACGCGGACGCACCAAAAACCGCCGAAAACGCAGCAGCACGTGCAACAGCAGCAGCAGCAGCAGCAAGGTGAGTTGAAGTGCAGCAACAGCAGCAGCAGCAGCAGCAAGGTGAGTTGAAGTGCAGCAACAGCAGCAGCAGCATCAGCAAGGTGAGTTGAAGTGCAGCAACAGCAGCAGCAGCAGCAGCAAGGTGAGCTGAAGTGCAGCAGCAGCAGCAGCAGCAGCAGCAAGGTGAGTTGAAGTGTAGCAGCAGCAGCAGCAGCAGCAGCAAGGTGAGCTGAAGTGCAGCAGCAGCAGCAGCAGCAGCAGCAGCAAGGTGAGTTGAAGTGTAGCAGCAGCAGCAGCAGCAGCAGCAAGGTGAGTTGAAGTGCAGCAGCAGCAGCAGCAGCAGCAGCAGCGGGAGGGAGAGGAACTGCAGCAGCAGAAAGAAGCGAAAATAAGAGGAGACAAAGACAGAGAAATAAATAAAAAATAAATAAAACGAATTGGACAGAAAACAGAGACACAAAGGATATTTAAAAGATTTAAAAAAGATTTAAAAAAGATTTAAAAAAGATTTACAAAAGAAATAAAAAAGAAATCAAAAAGAAATGAAGAAATAACAAATGAATAAAAGAGAAATAAAAAGGAAATAAAAGAGAATAAAGCAGAAATAAAAACGAAATAAAAAGAAGTAAAAAAGAAATGAGAAAAATAAATAAGTAAATAAAAGATTTCAAAAATAAAATAAAGAGACGAAAGAGAGATTAGGGGGAGACAAAAAGGAGACAAAAAAGAAACAAAAAGAGACAAAAAGGAGATAAAAAAGATCAAAAAAAGATGAAAAAGAGGTTTTAAAAGAGATTTAAAAAGAGATTAAAAGGAGACCAAAAGGAGACAAATGATGACGCAAATAGGGACACAAATGAGGATTAAAAAGGGACTAAAAAGGGGCAAAAAGAAGACAAAAAGAAACGAAAAAAAAACAAAAAAGGGACAAAAGGGAGCCAAAAAAGAGTCAAAAAGCTCCCGAAATAGCCCAAAAGACACAAATAAGGAGACAAATAAGGAGGAAAAAAAGAGACAAATAGGAGACAAATAAGAAGACAAAAAAGAGACAAATAAGGAGACAAAAGAGAGACAAAAGAGAGACAAAAAAGAGACAAAAAAGGAGACAAAAGAAACGGAAAAAGGAGAAAAAAAGAGAAAAAAAGAGCCAAAAGAGCGACGAAGAGGACTCGAAAACCAGCCGAAAAACCGCCGAAAAGGAGACAAAAAAGCCCCAAAAAAGGAGACAAAAAAGCCCCAAAAAAGGAGACAAAAAGGAGACAAAAAAACGCAAAAAAAGATGAAAAAGGAGACAAAAAGGAGACAAAAAAAGAAAAAAAAAGAAGAAAAAAGAAAGAAAAAAGAAGCCAAACTTGCCTTCTGGCGCTATGTAGGTGAGCCGGCCCTGCTTTTTGGGGGGGACTAAAATGCGGTGGTTTTTAAAAAGGTTGTTTTCAAACACTGTCCCCAACACGTCTCCCCCTGCAACGCAAACCCTAAACCCTAAACCCTAAACCCTAAACCCTAAACCCTAAACCCTAAACCCTAAACCCTTGATGAAGGACAAAAAGGAGCCAAAAAAAGGGCAAATAACGACCCAAAAGCGATCCCAAACCCCCCAAAACACAAAAACCCCAAATCGATCCCCAATCGATCCCAAGACGATCCCCAACGATCCCCGACGATCCCACACGATCCCCAACGATCCCACACGATCCCAAACGATCCCCGAGGATCCCCGACGATCCCAGACGATCCCCGAGGACCCCAGACGATCCCCGAGGACCCCAGACGATCCCCGACGATCCCCGAGACCCCAGTCGCTCCCAATCGATCCCAGTCGATCCCAGACGATCCCAGACGATCCCAGTGGATCCCACCCGTGAGGATGTCTCCGACTTGGATTGCGGGGGCGGGGACGAAGTGCCACTTCTTGTCGGGGTCGAGGGCCGCGGCTTCGCAGCCTTTGGAGATGAAGACGGAGCCCGAGGCCGCAGCAATCCGCTCCAGCGGCCGCTGAATCCCGTCAAATATCCCGTCCAGCAGCCCTGCAGCAGCAGCAGCAGCAGCAGCAGCAGCAGCAGCAAGGTGCTGCAGCAGCAGCAGCGAGGCGCTGCAGCAGCAGCAGCGAGGCGCTGCGGCAGCAGCAGCAGCAAGGCGCTGCAGCAGCAGCAGCAGCAAGGCGCTGCAGCAGCAGCAGCGGCGGGAGCGGCAGGCGGCGAAACGGACGAGCAGCAGCAGCAGCAGAGGAAACAGCAGCAGCGGCAGAGGCAGCAGCAGCTTTTGACGAGGAGCGCCCCAGCAGCAGCAGCAGCAGCAGCAGCAGCAGCAGCAGCAAGGGCAAAAGCAGCGCGACGCGCGAGTTCTGTGCTACGTTAAACAGCCGCAGGGTTTAGGGTTTAGGGTTTAGGGTTTGAGTCGCGGGTGAACAGAATCCGCTCATATGAATTCGTCCACGCTGAAACCCTAAACCCTAAACCCTAAACCCTAAACCCTAAACCCTAAACCCTGGGGATCCCGCGGGGCGGCGGAACACTCGAAAAAAACAAAAGGTGAAAAAAGACAAAAAGACAAAAGACAAAAATAAAGATAAAAAGCAAAAAAGAGAAAATAGAAAAAACAAAAATAAAAAGAGACAAAAAATAAAAACAAAATAAAAAATAAAAAATAAAAAGGAGACAAAAGAGAGAACGCACCTGGGCCCAGGGTTACGCAAAGAGGATGCCCAGTCTTCACCACAGGGTCTCCCACAGATAAACCCGCTGCAGCAGCAGCAGCAGCAGCAGCAGCAGCAAAATGAGCAGCAGCAGCAGCAAAATGAGCAGCAGCAGCAGCAGCAGCCCCACACCACAGCCTCGAGCGTCACCAGCGCAGCTGCACCACCGCAGCCGCAACACCCGCCTCTGCAGCGGCAGCAGCACCTGCCTCAGCAGCAGCAGCAGCAGCAGCAGCAGCAGCAGCAGCAACTGCCGTAGCAGCAGCAGCGCCCGCCCCAGCAGCAGCGGCAAGCGCAGCAGACGCCTCAGCAGCAACAGCAGCACCCGCCTCAGCAGCAGCAGCAACAGCGCCCGCCTCAGCAGCAGCAGCAGCGCCCGCCTCAGCAGCACCTGCAGCAGCAGCAGCAGCAGCAGCAACTGCAGCAGCAGCAGCAGCAGCAGCAAACCTGTCTCCTCGTAGACCTGGATGTAGGCGTTGTCTCCTTCGAGGCGAATAATTTCGCCCACGAGCCGCAGCCAACCCACGCGGACCAGTTCGTACATTTTGGTGCCGCTCATTTGCTCAGCAACCACCACTGCAGCAGCAGCAGCAGCAGCAGCAGCAGCAGCAGCAGCGGTGCAGCAGCAGCAGCAGCGGCGGCAGCGGCGGCAGTGGGAGTGGCGGCAGCGGCAGCAGCAGCGGAGGAGGAGAGCGAGCGCGGCAGGGGGGCGGCCGCAGCAGTGAAGACGTGCGGAGCCGCAGCAGCAGCAGCAGCAGCAGCAGCAGCAGCAGCAGCAGCAGCAGCGGCTGGAGGTGGGACTCTGGGGTGCTGCAGCTGCGGCTGCTGGGAACAGCAGCATCACCTGCTACCTCGCCGCCACAGGAACCGAACCAGCAGCAGCAGGAGCAGCAGCAACAGCAGCAGCAACAGCAGCAGCAACAGCAGCAGCAGCAGCAGCAACTTACGGGGCCCTGCAACCTTGAAGACGACCCCAACGCCAGTGTTATCCTCTCCGAAGAGAGTGGCGCTGTCTTTCTCTGCAGGAGGCGCCATTTTGAAAGTAGGGTTTAGGGTTTAGGGTTTAGGGTTTAGGGTTTGGGGCCGCTGGGGGTTGCGGCTCACACACCGCCGCTCCTGCTGCTCCTGCTGCTGCTGCTCCTGCTGCTGCTGCTGCTGCGGCGGCGCCGTCGCTCCAGCTGCGACAGCAGCAGCAAAACATGAAGAAAGGAAAGAAAAAGAAAAGGGACTTCTGCTGGTGTGTACGTACACCCGGCAAACACCGCAGAGAACCAGCAAGCGAGATGTGCTGCTGCTGCTGCTGCGGCTGCTGCTGCTGCTGCTGCTGCTGCTGGGAACTCCCAAGCAGTAAGTTTAGCCCGCAATTATAGAACAACAACAAAAAGAGGCAAACCCGAGAGCTCGAAGAACGGCCCCAGAAGGAACGGGCAGCGGAGCAGCATGCAGCAGCAGCAGCAGCAGCAGCAGCAGCTGCTGCTGCTGCTGCTGCTGCTGGCGCTGAAGCGCAGGTCGGCGGCGCCAGAGCGGCGGCACTCAGCCGCAGTTGCTGCCTAACCCTGAAGAGTTTGCTGCTGCAGCAGGCGCTTCACAACCCTAATAAACAAGTTGTATCTAGGTTTAGGGTTTAGGGTTTAGGGTGTAGGCTAGGGTTTAGGCGGCTGCCGCATTAGGGTTTCCGGGGCGTTGGTGCTTGTGCTCTGCGGTGTACAGACAGCTCAGGCGCGCAATCGGTCGTCTTCCTTTTTTTAATTTGTTTATTTCTCTTTGGTTTGCTGCTGCTGCTCCCGCTGCTGCTGCAGCAGCACCAGCTCCTGCTGCCAGGGCTCTAGAAGCAGCAGCAGCAGCAGCAGCAGCGAACAGCAGCAGCTGCCACCCAAGCTGAGCTGCCGCCTCTCCTTTGTACATGTAAATTCTGCCGCCTTTGAATCTGCAGCAGAGGGCCCTGCTGCAGCAGCTGGCCTGTTATTGCTGCTGCTGCAGCAGGAGGAGCTGCTGCCGCTGCTGCGCTGCTGCTGCTCCTGCAGCAGCAGCACACTTCGCCCATGGTGGAGGCGCTGTGCCCCCCATAAGGAAGCTGGCTTTAGCAGGAGAAGCAGACGCAGCTGAATCAAGAGGAGTCGCAGCAACGACAGCAGCAGCAGCAGCAGCAGCAGCCGCAGCAGCCGCAGCAGCAGCAGCAGCAGCCGTAGCAGCAGCAGCAGTTCGTTTGTCTTCTTCTGAAAACAGCAGCCGCTGCTGCAACGTCTAGCTCAAGCTGCGACCACAGCAAGCAGCAGCAGCAGCAGCGGCAGCAGCAGCAGCAGCAGCTCGTGTTGCCTCCTTTGCCGCCGCAATGGAGGCGTCGTCCGCACCGTGTGCAGCAGCAGCAGCAGCAGCAGCAGCAGCAAGAGCAGCAGCAGCAGCCCCGCCCCCAGCAGCAGCAGCAGCAGCAGCAGCGCCTCGAGGGCCTAGCCGTGGCGGCGCGGAGGTAGATGTGTTGACTGTGCACAATGTTATGGCCTATGGGCAAATTGACTCCACCATAGACCTTGCTGCTGCTGCTCGGTGGGCCTTGCTGCTGCTGCTGCTGCTGCTGCTGCTGTTGCTGCTGCTGCTGCTGCAGGTGTAGATTGTAGGTACACCTCAGCCGGTTCTAGCGGCGGACGCCGAATCGCTAGTTGCTGCTGTCGGCTGGAGTTTAGGCGCAGCAGCACGAAACGAACAGCAGCAGCAGCAGCAGCAGCAGCAGCAGCAGCAGCAGCAGCAGCAGCAGTTTGTGTCTGTGCATGCAGAGTGCTGGGCAATTCTGTTTTCTGCCCGCGGGAGTTTCATTCAGTGCGAGTTGATGTCCGCTGTGGGGCCAATGGAGTTGCTTCGCTAAATATATTCAGGTGCTGCTGCTGCTGCTGCTGCTGCTGCTGCTGCTGCTGCTGCTGGCTGTGCTGCGGCTGGACGACGGCGGCAGCAGCAGCTGCAGCTGTGCCTCTCCGTGGTGCTGCTGCCGCTGTTTGTCGGGGCTCGTGCCCCGCGCCTCGCCCCCTGCGCGCTGGCCGCACCTGCTGCTGCTGCTGCTGCTGCTGCTGCTGCTGCTGCTGCTGCTGCTGCAGCAACGGGAAGGTGATGGGGACTGGGGCGAACACGGTGCTGGCGCTGCGGGTGGCCATGCTGAAGGTGCTGCGGCGGCTCATTCAGCAGCAGCTGGTGCCAGCAGCAGCAAAGCTGCAGCAGTTCCGAGTGGGCAATTTGCTGGCTTCTTACGCGCTGCCTTCGCGGCTGCAGCTGCAGCAGCTTGCTGCTGCTGCTGCTGCTCACAACCTGCAGCTCGACATGGACCCCGAGCGCTTCCCCGGAGCCCGCATCAAAGTCCCCATTCAAGCAGCAGCTGCCAAGCAGGTCCTGCTGCTGCTGCTGCTGCTGCTGCTGCTGCAATGCTGCTGCAATGCTGCTGCTGCTGCTGCTGCTGCTGCTGCTGCTGCTGCAATGCTGCTGCTGCTGCTGCTGCTGCAATGCTGCTGCTGGAGGCTCTTGCTGCCGCTCTTTTCTCGTGTTTGCCATTCTTAATATTCACTCATTGGTGGCTTCCTGGGAGCTGCAGGGTTTAGGGTTTAGGGTTTAGGGTTTAGGGTTTAGGGTTTAGGGTTTGCGTTTGGGCGTTCAGAAGGAGCAGCGGGAGAGCGAGCCTGGAACAGCAGGGGCGTGGACGCGCAGCAGCAGGGGGGGCCCCCCGGGGGCCCCCGGGGGCCCCGGGGGGCCCCCCAACAGAAAAGCAGAAGTGGTAACTTTGCATGCATTCAGCAGCGGGAGAATTACCATTACGGGGGCCCGTTCTGTTGCTTCGCTGCAGCAGGCCCTTGTGGGGGTTTTGCCGCTGCTGCTGCGCTGCCCGGGTCGCCAGCTGCAGGCAGCAGCAAACGGCGACTAGCTGCTGCTGCTGCTGCTGCTGCTGCTGCTGCTGCTGCGGTGGGCGGCTGCTGCAGGCAGCAGCAAACGGCGGCTTGCTGCTGCTGCTGCTGCACCTGCTGCGGCCGCTGCCGCGGCGGCTGCTTTTGCGGCGGCGGCTGTTGCTGCTGCTGCTGCTGCGGCTGCTGCTGCTGCTGCTGCTGCTGCTGCAGCTGCTCAAACGCCCAGCTTCCTCTGCCCGCGCAGCAAAATGCATGCATGCAAGCAGCAGCAAATTATTTATTTGCCTTTTAGGTATTATTAATGACTTTGGGCCTCAGCAGCAAATTGTAAAATCCTTATGTGAATTTTATTTCTTTTTTGTGCACAAAAAAGAAATAAAATTCACATACCGCTGCTGTGGGGCCCCAGCAGCAACTGCAGCAGGCAGTGCGCTGCAGCAAAATTAAATCAAATAGAGTGAGCTGCTGCTGCTGCTGCTGCTGCTGCTGCTGCTGCTGCTGCTGCTTTGCTGCTCCGCGAGGAAGGGCCTTGGGGGGCAGCTGTACATACACCGGAATAGGCAGGACAAGCAGTCGCTGGGGTGTACGTACACCTCAACGAAGCAGCTGCGCGGGCTTCTGCCCCCCAAACCCTAAACCCTAAACCCTAAACCCTAAATGCAGCGGGTGCAGGAGAAGGGGAGTCAAGATGGATTAATTTAAATAAAATAATTGATTTAATAAATCAAATGAACTAATTCAATTAACAGTGAGAGGTAAATAAAAATGAATTAAATAAATATTTAATTAAATAAAACAATTTAAATAACAAAGATAATGGGAGCTGGAGCCACAGGCGAGCTGCAAAACAAATAAATGAAAACAGATAAAAATAAATGATAAATAAATATCAAATTAAAAATAAATAAAAACACAAATGAACAGTAAATAAATACCAAATAAACACTAAATTACTTCAAAAATTAATAAATGAGTAATAAATAAATATCAAATAAAAAATTAATTTTAAAATTAATAAATTAACAAATAAATACCAAATAAATAATAGATGGAAACAAATAAACGAAAAAACAGTAAATAAATATCAGATAAATAATGAATAAAAACGAATAAATAAATAAATAACAAATAAATACCAGATAAATAATTAATTAATTCTAAAATTGATAAATAAACAATGAATAAATACCAATAATATAGTAATAAATAAATAATAAATTAATTTTAAAATGAATAAATAAACGACTTCAGGGCCCCACACGCAGCCCCGCGAGGTGTACGTACACCTGAAATCCTAACACCCCACACCCCTCAGCTGGGGGGCCCCCCACTAAAGGGTACAGTGAGGGCCCTCCGCAGCTGCTGGGGGCCCCCCCGGGGGGGCCCCCCCTGGGGGGCCCCCCTCCCCACTCCAGGGGCAGTTCCCGTGGGGGCCCCCTGGGGGCCCCCACGGGGGCCCCCCTGGGGGCCCCCCTGAGGGCCTCCCTGGGGGCCCCCCTTCAGGCAGCCTTGGGGGCCCCCAGCAGGGGCTCCTCGTTGGGGCCCCCACGACGAGGGGGCCCCCCTGGGGCCCCCGTGCACGGGGCAGACCGCGCACGAGGGGGGCCCCCTAGACCCTAAATTAGGGTTTGCGTTGGCCCTCGGAGTGAGGAAACCCCTGCGCTTCGAATCAGCTGCTGCTGCTGCTGCTGCTGCTGCTGCAGTTGCTTCAGGAGCGCTGCAGAGCCCCCAAGAAGGGGGCCCCTTTAGGCTGCCGGGGGCCCCCTGGGGGCCCCCCGACACAGCTGCCAGGGGTACGGGGGCCCCCAAGGGCTTGGGGGCCCCTAGGGGCCCCGGGGGCCCCCCTGGGCTTGCTGCTGCTGCTGCTGCTGCTGCTGCTGCTGCCGCGGCGTTGTGGGGATAGAAGTGCTGCCAGATGCAGCAGCAGCAGCAGCAGCAGCAGCAGCTGCTGCTGCTGCCGCTGGTCGGTCCTGCTGCAGCAGCAGAGCCTGAGCAATTTGACTTGTGCCTACTTGCTGCTTCTTAAACTGAGCAGCAGCAGCAGCAGCAGCAGCAGCAGTTGAGCTCAAGGTGGTACTAGAGAACTCTTGAGGAATGGGGTAAAGCAGCTGCTGGAGGGACATATCTGCAGCAGCAGCAGCAGCAGCAGCAGCTGCTGCTGCTGCGGACTTCCACTTGCTGCCGCTTTCGCCCCTGAGCAGCTCTTCCTCTTCTTCCCGCTGCTGCTGCTGCTGCTGCAGCTGCTGCTGCAGCTGCTGGTGCTTAATTGCTTCTCGCTCCTGCTCAACAGCAGCCATGAGGCGCATGTGCTGCTGCTCCAGGGCCGAAAGGTCGCTGCGGACTTTTTGGGTTTCTTCTTTTTGACTTTCGAGTTCTTCTGTTATATTTTCCAACTTTGAAAAATAAAAAACAAAAATAATTAAATTAATTAAAAGTGGTTTTAGTTGCCATAATTAATGCAACAAGTAAGACAGCTTCGCGGCTGCTGCTCCGCAAGAGCCCGCAGCAGCAGCAGCGGCAGCAGCAGCAGTAGCAGCAGGAGAGGGAGGAGCAGCAG